AAACAAATTAACTTATTACACAGGCGACGATCCAAGGATTCGTGGCAAAGGGTTTATCGGTGGGAGAAGCGGAGGGTTTACTGAGGAGGAGCGTAGAAATCACGTGTGAGGCACGTGAGATTTTCTACAACAGATGCATCAAAGGTTCTTGGGATTTCTCTAACGCTGGAAAAGGTTCCCGGCGACCGGTTCTTGTCGCAGCTTCCGTTGGTAGCTATGGAGCTTATCTCGCCAATGGCTCAGAGTACAGGTTCTTTGATTGATGATTCCTAGTCATTTTTTTTTTACATTTGGAGTATTAAGTTTGGACAAATGAAGTATTTTGGTGGTCGAATCTAAAATACTTGATTTCATTCTCACGGTTATGCAGTGGAATATATGGAGATTCTGTGAGCAAGGAGACGTTGAAGGATTTCCATAGAAGAAGAGTCCAAATCCTAGCAAAATCTGGAGCCGATCTAATCGCATTCGAGACCATTCCAAATAAGCTCGAAGCTGAGGTATACAAAGTTTTTATTTAAATCTTTGGTAATTTCCAGAGTTAGGGACCAGATTTCGAATATTCTTACTCATTTTAATAATGGTCGGCGAATATAAACGTTTTAAATGATAAAAATCTTCACATGAAATAAGTATATGTTTTCGCTTTCTAATTCCCAATTATACAAAAAAGGTTAAAAAAAAAAAAAGAAATAACGAAATAGAGTTTTCAGTTAAGCGGTTGTGGTTGAGTTTTGGTGGGTATGATCGCATCTCATATGCATATCAGTTGTTACGGGATACTAGTCTTTGAGTGGTAATGGGGAATTTGAGTGAAAAATAGTGTGATGAAATGTAGCATAAATTAAAGGTGATTTCTGATGGATTAGCTAGTTAAAGAGGAAAATGGTAACTAGTGAATATGGCGGAATAATAAAAAAGTGTTAGTCTGGCTAAACAATTATGAATAATAAGGGAATAACTAATGTATGTATATGCTTTTAATATAATAGGCTTATGTGGATCTTCTTGAGGAAGGCATTGACATTCCGGCATGGTTCTCATTCACTTCCAAGGACGGAGTCACCGTGCCACGTGGAGATTCAATAACAGAATGTGCTAAAGTGGCAGATTCTTGCAACAAAGTGGTGGCCATAGGAATTAATTGCACTGCACCAAGATATATTCAGGATTTGATTGTCTCCTTAAACAAGGTAAGTAACATACACATATAAAGAATGATGGAATTAGGGTTTCTTCCCCTGTTTTGTTCCTTGCGGCTGAAGCAACTGGCTTTTTTCTTTCCAGGTGACTCGCAAACCGATCATTGTCTACCCAAATAGCGGGGAAGTCTACGACGGTCTGAACAAGAAATGGATTGTGAGTGCTTGGTTTTATGTGTGAAACCTTATTATAATTATAACATATTACAAATCTGACTTTTGGGAGATTTTTTTTTTATGAATCGATGCAGAAATCAGAGGGAGAATCAGAGGAGGATTTTGTGTCCTATGTGAGTAGGTGGAGAGATGAAGGAGCGTCGATGTTTGGAGGATGTTGTCGGACTACTCCAAACACCATCAGAGCCATTACTAAAGTTCTCTCAGGCGAATCTCCGACACCATCCAAACTCAAAATCTGACTCATCAACAATGAATTTCCAAGTTTTTCTTTTGGTATCAAGATCAAGAAGGAATTAAAATGTACAATAATGCTAGTGTAATCGGGTTATCAGTTTGGTTTCAGTTCAATTTTTAAAAATTTTAGCTGTGAAAAAAGAATACTAGTAATCAAAATAAAACATAATAGGTTGGGTTGTATAGTTATGGTGAAATTTTGTTGTTGTAAATATCGTATGCATAAGTTAAATTAAAGGACAAATGTCCGAGATACTTCAATCTGTGCATACTCTATTCTGGTATACTCCTCTATTGTCTCGAATACTTTTTTCCATTTGGTACAACTAGTTGTACCATGTGTTTTTTTTTAATTATAGTTGTACTCTAATTTTTACAGTTGTACCTAATAATACTCATAGTTGTACCAACTATAATTAAAAAACACATAGTACAACTGGAGTTTTTCAGACATTGAATTAGTCAACAGGAGCTTAGGAGACGTTAACTCTAAATTAAAGGATATTGAAAGTCTCCCCACAATTCTCGATCAAATGCAAATATATGGATTATATACTTCTTCTTTTCCAAAGTAAATTGGAAAGGAAAAAGGTTTGATGTAAATTAGTAAAAACATAATAATTTACATCAAAACCCTAATTTCTACTTGAAGCGAAAAATCGTTTCTTGTTTCTCTATATAAAGACAAGAATCGTCCAGGGCAAACGTGAAAAACATCAAAACCCTAATTTCTATTACTTTCAAAGCTCTGATCGAGTCGTTTTCTTCTTCCCTGGGAGATTACATAGAGAGAAACACTGATGATGCCTGATCTTTCCCTTATGGCGGATTTGATAGAAGAAATACTCTCTAGGTTCCGGCCACGTCTTTGAAACGATTACGATCAACTTGCAAACAATGAACGCTCTATTTAAAGATCCAAGATTCACCGAGAAGCACTCTCGTAGAGCTCCAAAGCAGTTTCAGATTTTCATGTTGAAGAAATATAAGGTTTGTTCAATGAGCATCAATCTCAACATTACCCCTCCATCTATAGAGTTTAAGGGTTCACTTGACCTAAAGGACTCCCATTCTAATTCAGAACAACAAGTCGATATAGTTTAAGTTTTTCACTGTGACGGTTTGTTGTTATCCCACACCAAAGAAAATAGACTCGTGGTTTGGAATCCTTTTTTGGGGGAAACCAAATGGATCCAATCCAAAACTGCTTACAACAGGTTCTCCAAGTTTGCTCTAGGATACCAAAACAACAAATCTTGAGGTATAGTCAGACTTACAACCGAAACGGCCAAGTTTTTGCGTATGCAATCTATGAGTTTAGTTCTGATACATGGAGGGTTCTTGATGACATCAATCCAAACTTCTCTATTCTAAGATGTGGTGGCGTGTCTTTGAAGGAAAATACTTACTGGCTTGCTTCAGATGGTGCTAGTGCTAGTGATGATCAATCTTTACTCTATTTTGATTTTACAACAGAGAGATTTAAACGTCTTTGTCTTCCGCGATCTCAGAATCATAATTTTCTTGCTCTATCAGTTGTTAAAGAAGAACAACTTTCAGTGTTACATAAGTGGCCTATTACACCAAAGATGGATATATGGGTGACAAATAAAGTTGATACTAAATCTGCGTTTTTCTGGAGCAAACTATTTACAATGGATTTACACGATCAGGTTTACAAGAGTCTATTAATTGACGAGGAAAAGAAAGTGGCCTTGTGTTGTGTTGTAAGTTCTGTGGCCAGTGAGAACAAGGTATACACTATTGGAGAGGACGATGAATATTACTCTGAAATCCCTTTTATGGAAACTGGAGATAGCAATGTTGGACAATTTACAAACGAACCACTGTGGTGGCCATTAATTTTCAATTATGCTCCAAGTTTGGTTCAAATCCAGCAAGGTAGAGGCAAAAGAAAAGAACGAAATTAGTTGATAAAAAATAAGCACGTAATTTCTCAATATCTCCTC